GGCAGCACTTTCTCCTCAGTTATTTAAAGACCCTGAGTGTTGGTCCGGCCGGGGTTTGAGCCCACGACCTCCCGCTCAGCAGACCGGTGCTCTCCCAACTGAGCTAACCAGGCGGCGGTCGAAATAAATAAATATTTCATGAAGTTTTCCTTCGCAAGCGTATCACCCTCACTTGAATTTCCCCTCAATTATTTTGTTTAGTCAGCCTTTTGATGAAAAAGACATCGATTGGTGCAATCAGTCAAGAGTGAACAGAAACTCTTGTTTTTTGATCTTGTCGTACATCGAAACACTGTTTTGGGCTACATTAGTTGCATTTCAGCCCGCTTTTAAGTCAGTTGAGGTCGTTTAAAAACCCCTAAAATTGGCCAATGTCCAATATTTTAATCACATCTGTCGCAACTTAGCAAAAAGCGCCCTTCAACTTGTACCGTACCACACGCGTAAGATGTAGAATTTGGCTTTAATAGTATTAAGAAAACCTTTTATTGGAATGCAACAGTTTTTGGACGGGATTCTTCTAAATTACAACCGAATGAAGCAAAGGTAGAATTTTTCGGCCGATAAGCTTCCAAATTGTGCTGTCTAAATTGCCACTGTTTACGACGGTTTCTCGATAAAATAGGCGCAAAGGACGGCGGGATTGTAAATGATGGAGGAACGTCTTCCACCGTGGGAAGCTAGTGGTCACGGGATAATCGCGCGCGAAATCATTGCAAGCATAGTTGATATAAAAGAAGAACAAGACAGCCAATCCCGTCCCGTCAAGTCTAGTCCCTTCCCAGAATGGAAGGCTCTAAATGACATCTATCGACACCAGTTTAGTACCCAGCGGTTTTGATTGACAACATGTCAGGTACGAGGTGTATGGGGATGTCTATGAAGGCAACTAAAGAGTTTGAAGGGTACCTTAAATAAGCCCCTTTATGTATAAGCCCCTCCAAATATAAGCCCCCTAAACTTGTAACGCAAAAAACCCTTCGTTAAAACGCCCCTCCAAGTATAAGCGCCACAACCCCCCCGCCCAGGGGCTTGTACTTCGAAATAGCCCTCAAATACAAAGTAAAACAAAGCAAAAACGGTAAATCTCCTTCCAACTATAAGGCTAGCCCAATCGATTTTGAAGCGCAAATTTCCTTCCGCAGATAAGCCCCTCCGAATATAAGCCCCTCAAAAAGGGCCTCTGAAGAATATAAGCCCCGGGGCTTATCTTCGAAATTTTACGTATATATGTGTCGGTAAATTTTCCTCCCCATACAATACCTAACTACTGATAACCTCGGTGCCCAGTGGTGATGAGTTTTGCGGGCTCATAATCCTCAGATGTTATTACATGCAACCTTTCCTTGCGCCTTTCTTTTCCCTATCATGATTTTTCCTGCTTCGCTTATTAAAAAGAAAACGACTAAAATGAAGCCTTTAATTCGCTCTGAATATTATGCAGATAAATAAATGAATAAATAAATTAAGAAACATTTTTTTAAAATTAATGAGTCATTTTAAGGTTCGAAACAGCAATTACCCGTCGTTCGATAGGTTACCATCAGAGATTCCCAGTAGTTACAAGATGGTGCATATGAACAGTTTCAACTTTCAGGAGAATTCGAACTTGAATGTTTAGCCTGCGAGCAAGCTCGACTCCATTTCGAGTGCGACTGTCGCGAGACAACGCTGGCTGTTCTTCACTTGCACATCTCCTTTCTTGTCCCACTCACGCACGACTTCTCACAATGAGCTTCCTCGCAGGCTATTGTCAGGGGGAACCAACGACCTTTTTTCTGTAAAATAACCGTTCGAAGGAGCAAATATTCCAAGAAATTTCTTGAGCTCGAGAAAGGCTTAAAGTTCCTGAATAACTGCCAGTCCTATTCGAAAAAGGTATTCGGCGATTTTCACATTTTTTTTCCCAAGATATTGCCATCATTATTAAAGAAGGTCTCCTGAGAATTTTGGTATAAAGTACGGCTACTCCATATCCTCTATTTTTCGACCAGTCGACCTATCATGATAGCCAACAGTTTCGGATGAGACGAAAACCCTCCAAAAACTTTCGAGACGACCAAAATTCCCATAAAAACACTCCTGACTTAACTGGAACCATTCCGTCGTTGCGTTGGGTGCCTCTGTACTGTATATCCTCAACCAAACTCATATGACGTTACTTCCACAAGCATTTGTGTAGTGGCACCATCTTTCAATATATCTTCTTGTTGTTTGACGTGTTTATAGTAAATACAGGTGCGCTTAGAGAGGATAACCTCTTTTTGTGGCCTCGGCGTGTCAGTTATTTACCATAGAATCTGTTACGCCCTTTCGTAGAGAGCCAAAGAAGCCGGCTCTTTTACAACCCACGTTTTCAACTCACGTTCAAGTTGTCTCACTCGATCAGTTCGTCCTCCAGTCCAAAATGCAATGTACCTTATGATATTTGTGCCGGTCCATTCAAAATAGCTCTCCAGAGGAAAAATCCTTAAGGGGTTGCTGTATACACAGACAAAGACAAGACAATTGGTTTTTTATCAGTTAGGAGGTACAAAAAAAAAAAAAATCAGTGATCTTGCACAACCTGTTTTGCTTTTTGCAACATGTGGTCAAGCACATGTGTAATTCAAATTAACCTTTTAGCACACAAAGATACCACATAATGGTCTCGCTTTCCCTCTCATTTGAATCATTAGGCTGAATAGCCTGTCTTGTGGGGAACAGGGAGATTGCTTTTCTCGAGGTTCTCAGCGTATCACTCAGAAATAAACAACAAACACAGATAAAGTTTAAAAGCCTTTCATTTATTTTAAAGAATGACATCAAATATATAGAAACTGACAAAAGCTGGACATTCGTTTATGAAATAGGCCACTGTCGATATATCCATTGAAGTCATGTCCTGAGAACACGAGGAAGAAGAGTGATGACTTTCGTTCCTTCTGGTTTTCTTGGCCTGGCTATGAGTTTGGATAATAGCACGATATATCAAAGAGACCCCATTCATACCGCAGCCCCTACAATATCTTATCTTACTCTTGCCATTCAAAAATTTATTATTATCATTATAAAATGAAGCAATATTGTTATGTAAATATGCAATATGTAGTAAATGAATAAATGTAGTTGTATAAATTAAGTTCTTGCTACAACCATTGAAACATTCTTGCTGGTGCTGACTTCCTTCCTAGCGTATGATCCATTAAGTAAAAGAATTATATAAATTATGCAGATCGAAGAGGGGTATCGGATTAACGCCGAGGCGGATAACTTTCTTCCCGTCTCTGACCCTGACTGTGTGCTTTTATAGAATAGTGTGTTATATATACTGACTTCCAAACCAGACCTGAGCTGCAGAAATTGTAACAAAGGTTCCTGTATTGCTTATTGTATTGGTAGCATTGGTCGGAAATGGAATGTTATTTTTTCCGAACTGCCCTGATAATCCGAATCTTCACTTTTCATACCCAGACGTGGGTTTCCCGAGTGATCTGCTAATGACACTATTTGAAAGAACACAAAAAACTAAACTATAATCACTATAATTATTATTCAACACCAGCAAAGGTCTCTACAATAATTAAACTTTTTTTCTTCTACTACCGCAATATTGTTATGGTGAACCGAAGTGCCTTTTATCACCTTACCCCTGATCACACCTTTTTGAGTCAATAGTTCGTTTCTCCAACATGACATGACATGTTTATAGCGAGTGGCAATGTAGTCTAACCTAGCCGATTGAAACGTTCGTAACATTGAATTGTAGCCACGGAATTATGTGGTAGGTTAATATCTGGCGTCTGAGGAACTCTGAAGGCTATGATCAGTCACACTATACCGGATAGCCCTCGCACCGACACGAAAATGATACCGGATTTTGCTTTTGTCAGTTCATTTAGAAGAACGGTGATTTTCCGGCTCTTCTGTTAAGAAAGGAAACTGCGCCGCCGCCGATCTTGAAAGGTGGACCATCACATATCGGACAGGTTTCTGCCACTTGTCGTCGTAGTGTGAACAGTTTTTGAAGTAAAATGAGTAGGGGCGAGCGTGGGCTAGGAGCCACATCAGTCAGGAGAGAGGACTGGGATTTAGTTCACCAAACTGGCCTCTCGGCCAACCGACCGCTCTGGTGCGATGTTCGATACGTGTGGACGACTTGTTCCAGTTCTATACGGTTGTCGCTCATACTACCGGATACATTTTCATGTCTACACGAAAATCTATTTCCAGTATAGTGTGGACAGACTAAAAAAGTAAAAGAAGCAATCCGAACTACTAACAACTAAATAGTTATTTGTAGAAAATGAACCCATTTTAGTCGCTACAATTGTTATATTACAAGTGCTATTCAGTATTTTCTCGATGTCTTTCAAATGAAGTTAAATATTATTAGGTATCTTATTGTAATAACCCATTAAATAGTTGTGCTCGTCATCTCAGTCCTGTTCCTTGCTGGGTGAGAGGACTCCCATAAGAAAATGACAGGGTTGCTCGTCTCTCTTAGACGCAGACATTGCAGTTTTTGGTCTCTTGGCTGTGCAAGACAAAAAGCCAATATTTTTAACCATCTTAAATGTATCACTTAACCCCCTGCAAACGGATGTAACTTTGTTGGCCAACAACTCTCAACATTGTCCAACATTGTTGGAAGTTGTTGCGTCCGTTTGCGCGTAGCTTTAGGGTTGTGCGTAAAGAAATATCTATATAGAAAAAGACGCTGTCATAATGAGTTAGAGAGTGTTCTACTTTGGCTGCCATTTGTGATCGTAACTGACGAGACTGGTTATGAATACTGGCGAACAGTGAAGATGAAAACAACGGTGTTCAGTTTATGGGTATAGTTTCTTGGTATTCCGGACGGTGCAACTGCAATTATTAATCGACTTGTCCGTCGAGCATTCCCTCATGCTTTCATATCGGAGACGCCCCCCCCCCACCTTTCCCCCGAGACCCCTATAACAATCTAAAGAAAAAAAGGGTGCTTTGACAAAATTTAAACCATAAAGACCCTACAGAAATTAGAGCTTCGTATCAAGAGTACTAGCTTTACTGGTGTTAGTAGCAGATGCCTCACGGTAACATGGCTGGTTCTGATCCAGTAGTCTGAAATAATAGTAAGGGGTATCTTCTGTCATCATCTCTTCCAGTATCGGTATTAGTTGAACGAATGAGGGTCGTTCATTTGGATCCTCCTTCCAGCAGTCCATCGTCAATTTGTATCTGTTGAAAAAGGAAGACATAGTTTAAAATACCGCTACACAAAGATATGTCTCCATTTACTTTGAATATTGAAGACACTTATGTTCTATAGGCTCTTTTTAGAATGGGGGAACGTAAAGGAAAGAGGTGCGCTGCAGATTCCACTCCTTGTAAAAGGCTGAAAATTTTAGAAAAAAAAAAAACTGTTTGAAGGACTATCAAAGTAGTTCTTCATCGTACCCTCTGTTCGCGCGTCTTTTATTATTTCTATTCTGACTTACATTTCATCGCTGCACGTGTTGGGTTTCTCCATCCGATATCCAGATTTAAGTAAACTGCATAGCCTCATGGGGCTTATCCCAGGGTATGGAGTACCCCCTAAAATAACAGAATAAAGATCAGTGCTGTCTTATCAAACATTATCAGGCTTTTCTAACTTTTCATTTTGAAATCGCTGGTGATCCCGCCAATCTGATTGGCTCTCAGCAGTGTGATTTATTTACGAATCACACAATCACATCTGTTCTAAACCACGTCGCACCGTCGCACCTTGCTTTATATCGCCTCATTTCTGTTTCGAATACAAAATGAGATGTAAAAGCCCTTTTGTTTCCGCTTTTCAACAGGCTATTTGATCTGCCCACAGGCAAGTCCTTCCTTATGGTTCTCGATCTAAGGCACGCCCCTTGACCGCTACGTAAGAGCTGCCATCCTTCACTCTATCCAGCATTCCCGCTCGAGGTCTTCCAGGTGGTCTCTTTCCTGGTATTCTTCCCTCAATAACTAATGGGACATGATCACCATGTCGTAGGGTTTGACCAAGCCAGACTCTCTGTCTTCTGTCAAGCTCCTGCTTCTGTTGATAACAGATATGATCGCCCTCTCCTCGCCGACACGCCTCAATACTTCGTCGTTACAGACTTTGTCACACCAAGTTATGTTAAAAAATCTTTCTCCAAAGCCACATCCCACAGCTCTCCAGCCTTCGCACGTCCTCTTTCTTTAAGGTCTATCATTCGGCTCCATTCAGAAAAGTACCCCAGATGACAGTCTTTATAATTCTCTTCTTCAGGCAAAGGCTAGCGCGCTGAAGGCTTTTGCCAGCAGTTCTTTTTTTTAGTAAAAAAAGGCTATTCTCGATCTAATTTATTTTCCACAGGATCCATCCTGTGTAATAGGGCTCCCAAAGTAGTTAAAGTGCGACGATTCTTCACTTAATTGTTTACCTTCAAGAAAGATCGTGAATTCCTCACCAGGCCTCTTACTGATTTAACATTGATCTTCATATCATATTCCCTCGCGTTTTCCTGCATTTTACCCATCATAAGTTGCAGACCTTTAACTGAATTGGCTAAGGTTGCTTGATCATCCGCAAAGCGCACTGTCTTAATGAGATGACCTTCCACTCGAATACCTTCATTCACACCACTTAAAGCATCTCTTAGCATGGCTTCAAAATATATGTTAACGAGTATGGGGGATAACGAGCTAACTTGTCTGGTGCCACGGCCAATCACTGTTGGTACGGATTGAATTCTGCGATTTCAAAATGGCTGTAATAAAGTGATAATTTCACTTCGTGTCGTGCAATTTTAGTCTGAAATCATACTTCTGATCTCAAATCGAACTCCCGCGTGAAATCACATGTATAATTTCAGACCAAATTGCTCTCCACTCAGTTCAATGACCATCATGTATTATCAATTTACCAACCTCCAGGAGGTATTAAAATAACGTAATGTACAAGTTTACCATTACTGAGTATTCATTTCGCCAAGTGACCCGTGATATCAGGTCAAGTTGTTGTTAAGGGTATGACTTATAGGCTGGATTATTATGAACCTGCGCTCCCCCCCGGTAAAGACGGCTAGGAGAGCGGCGGAAGTTAGCCTGTTATTTTTTCTAGTTGTTTAGCAATCATGACATTATGCAAGAATGGCTTCTTTTATAAAACGGTTCGATTCTCCCGTGACTGCTATCCGAAAACTGAACAGTCAGCTTTTCCCTGATTATTGTCATTGGGGATTCCTCTCAATTCCCTTGGGTATAGGAAAATGACTAGAGTATTATTCTACCAGCATCAGTATACAAAGATTTATAAAACTAGCTTACCCATGGTTGCTAGTTCCCACAAAACAACTCCAAAAGACCATCTGCAATAAAAGGAAGCAGATAAAGAAATTACAAGAATTAACTTCACAGAAATATTAATTTTGTTTATCTCGTCCCATGGATGGTAATCCAGGAAATTTTTGCTTGGAGTCGTGGACTTTGGAATCCGAAGTCCAGCTAACTATGAAATTCTGGAATCTAGGCCTTTTGAAATCTGGAATACACTGAGTTGGAATCCGGAATCTAGTATCTGGAATGCGGGATGTGGAGCGTGGAATCTAGGATCCAAGATGGTCTCTGATTAACTTCATCGGCTCAAAGTTTCTGTTTATAAATCTTATTTTCAAGTTTCACGTCTGGAACAGGCTAATGTTTTCCAAACACTTGAGTATTTCTTTAGAGATAGAGTGATAAGCGCTACTGTAGACAGTGTCATGATCAAAATTGTGCTCTTTTTCTTCAGACAGTTCTAAACAGTACATTGCTGGGTCTATGTTATCTAAAACCTCAACTTCACACTGCATCACAGGAAGCCTAAGCTTGGCCTAACTGTGACCTCGTTCACATATACTCACACGTCAGTCTTGAAAGTAAAAATGCCGCTTTCCAACGCTTCAGGTGCCATCCATTTCATTGGTAGCTTGTGTACGCTCGTAACTTCGTATATTTCACTCTCATTTGCGTGGCGTAATAAACCAAAATCAGCAATCTTCACCGCTCTGTCCTCACCAAGTAGGATATTACGGGCTGCCAGGTCACGATGAATGAATCCTTTGCTGGCCAAGTATTCCTGGCAGAGAAATAACGAAATTATTTCTCAAAGAATTTTCAGTTACCAGATTCCAATATGAAATTAAAATGGAAGCTCGATTTTACGATATGGCAGGGGGATAGCAGTTTAATCGGTATATCGTTGTAAACGAACTCCCGATTTAACGATTTGGCTGAAAAGCAACCAAGTGCAATGAAACGTCTGTTCCAGGCTCAAAAATAGTCCGTCACCGCCCCTTTTTCCTAGATCACGCTTTTATATTTTTGCCGGTGCTTTACACTTTTTTGCCGGTGCCTTACGCTTTTTTGCCTTATTTTTGCCGGTGCCAGCCCTACTATCGAGAGCCTGGAACAGGCTACTGCAAGATGTGTCTGACAAACGGTCCGGAAAGCGGGAGGAAGTGATCGTCGGCCTATTCATGAAGAATGGAGGGAGGATTTCCGTCACAGCTGTTGGAAAACGAAGAAACAAATTAAGGAATTGGTTTGCAATATCCCCGCGACGTATACTTTTCAGCACAAAAAGCCGTCAAAGTTGAACAAGCTGAGTGAACTACAGTCGACTCCAGATAACTCGAAACCTCGCTAACTCGAACCTTGTGCTAACTCGAACCAGAATCTATTTCCCCTAGATTTCCTTTACTGTAATTTATCCTCGGTAACTCGAACCCTCGATAACTCGAAACTCCCGCTAACTTGAAGTAATTTTTGTTTCCCTTTAGATCACTTTCACGCAATTTTACCCCGGCGATAACTCGAAGGGATGAATATTGGCTGAAAAATAAGGTTTTCAGTTAAGATTTCAACCTCGGAAGAAAACCCGTTGACACCTGTTGACACTTAATTAAATGCTGTTTTTCAGGGAGACTTAAGGTGAGTGGAATAAAGCCCTCCTTAGACTGCCACGCCCGAAAAAGAAAAAAAAAACTATCGGTTCTTACTATACTGCTGACTTCTATTTCGAAGTCACCCAAAACGACATACCTGGTGAACATTATTCATTTAGAGATTAGATTTTTTTCGTTAAAAAAGGTTCGTTTATACTAATGAATAAACAGCAATTGATAGAGGCGGATCACCAGGAGGGAGTTATTTGCTAAACCCAAAAGCCAAATATCCAGCTGAGCCAGAAGATACCGTAAAATTCCGAAAATAAGCCCCTCCATGTATAAGCCCGTCCAAATATAAGCCCCCCAAACTCGTAACGCAAAAAATCCTCCGTTAAATCACCCCTCCAAATATAAGCCCCCCGGGGAGCTTGTACTTGGAAATTGCCCTTAAATAAAAAGAAAAACAAAGAAAAAACGGTAAATTTCCTTCCAACTATAAGGCTAGCCCGATCGATTTTGAAACGCAAATTTCCCTCCTTAGATAAGCCCCTTCGAATATAAGCCCCTCAAAAAATAAGCCCCTCAAAATGGCCTTTGAAAAATATAAGCCCCGGGGCTTATTTTCGGAATTTTACGGTATACCAATTGAGCTTACAATAGTTAGCAAATACCATCATGGTGGCCGTTTACAAAAAGCAATCCCTTAGCTTTAATCATCAGTTCCACTTGCAGACCGTTTATTGTGCTTTCCAAGATTCCGATTACGGGAGTATTTAACTAGGAAGTCCTTGCTGCTCAGTCTTCCAGTCCCCAACACAAATTTAATCATTGCTTTTTCTTTCCTCTACTTCCCTTCTTTTCTCAGGGGCGTAGCCAGCGCACAGCCCTGTAGGCCCGGGCCTTCAAATTTTTGGGTTGATCACTCTACCGCTTGTAACAAATTATGCGTTGTTGGAGTCAGCTGAAAAAACACAAGAGCTCAAAGTGTTGGTGAGGTCAGTGCGTACTGGTCATGCGTGCAATTTTCAGGATATGTGGAAATGAAAGTCAGCCAGGCCTACAACTAGCCAAAAAGCTGGCAACGTCCCTGAATGTCAGGCTTGTACGATTCAAATTAAATAACTGATAGCTTAGCCTTATTCAGGTCATATGGCTGTATTCATTGGACACCTTTTCGAAAATACGAACAGACCTGATTTTGCAATAGGTAGCTTCACGGCTGCTCCATGTGATTTTTAGGCTTCTCGGGATATAAAAAAAACACGTTTTTGACCTTTTTTTAAAATAAAACGGCTCAATTTTATGTGTGCTATGTTTCACGAAAAATTCAGCGAGATAGTAGTTAGCCCTATAATGGTCTGTTATAATTAACGCAGCAATTTGAATGCTTGAAAAATCTGCCGTCTCGTGTCCGGATAGCATAATACTTGCAGACACAGAAAAAACTAGTAGTAAAGTATTTTAAATATGGGGAAGAGGCAGATTTTTGTGATTTGCAAACGATGACTAAATTGCTTAAGACATTCTTCAGTCGAAAAAGTTCTTACCATCCCTTTAGCAATCTGCCACGCATAACAAAGAACTTCTTTCCCAGAAATGTCTTCTTCATCATCTTCCTTGCCCTCACAGCTGCCTTCTTCTTTCTCGATGGTGATCTTTTCTTCGACGTTTCTTAAAGCCTCAGCAGGAGTGAGCTCCTTTTCTTTGGAGAAATGGGCAATATTGATCGAAGGTAACACCATCACCGACGTAACCGACCCCTTTCGCCGTTCATTTTGTTGAAATGACGTGTTAACATCGTCACTTTCTTCTTCCTTCTTGTCATCTTCGTAACCCAGGTTTAAGCAAGAAGGTTCCATCTCAGATCGAGGAGTATCTTTGATTAGAATTCCTCTTTCAACGTCGTCCAGGTCGATTTTAATTTCCTTCGTCTCGCTGCAATGGTAACCACCGTCTTTTCCACCTTCTTCATTATTTCTTTCGCTCTTCTCCTCTTTCAGGTTTTCATCCAGGACATCTTTTGTTTGCAGGTTCCTGGACACCAATTTCGGTCTCTCAGGAACAGGAGGCTTAAGCCTTGCAACGACATCACTTTGACGACTCTTTTTCATTGTAAACTGCAAAAAAATATTGAAATGAGTTCCGTCTGATCATGAAACGGTTTTGTCAGCAGAAACAATTTCAACACTATCAGTTGGTTAGCCGAAATATTTTTACCAATTTAAAAGGAATCCATGTGAATTGAAAGATTACTTAACCGACGTTAAACTGAAAATCTAGCCGGGAATAGAGGGAATACCTTATGGGCCAACTTTCTTTAAAGCGTCCACGGAAAATTCAAATGGATTAAACGTCATATCTCATACAGGGCTTTCGGGACGTGTAATGTGTAATTTACAATACTGTTTGGGGGACTTTGCCAGACTGCTTAAGGTGCATTTTACAAGTAGTGAAGGAATGAGTAATGATACCCCCCATAAATGAGTGTGAAAGTGAGATAAAGCACTACAACAGCCACTACGAGCCCTACTCTTCACGAAGAGCGAGTGTGTGGGTTCTTTAACGTCCCACAGATTTAATACATGTGCAAGGGCTTGTCAGACGGGGCCTACGGTTTATCGTCCTTATCCGAGAAGACCAGAAAGTCAAACCGTTTGCAGAAGTTATACAAAGGCAGCACTTTCTCCGCAGTTATTTAAAGACCCTGGGTGTTGCTCCGGCCGTGGTTTGAACCTACGGCCTCCCGCTCAGCAGACGGCGGCGGTTTAGAAACTCTGGACGGACAATCATTATGTCCACCAAAATATTTTGAAGCGTCTTTCAAAAAGAAACTTTTCTACTGCTTCGGTCGGGGGTGAAAAGCAAAACTCTGGTGTTATCTGCTGATTTGAATAACTCATCTTGCCACCATTGAAAGACCGTGGATCGAAAAGCTGACTAGCATTTTGAGTGGAAGCCCTTTGTCAGCTCGAATCAAGGACGGTTTATCAAATGGCGGACCTCAACTGTTGGTGAATACATGGGAAAATGAGAAAAGAAACAAGTAAATTACTAGAATGAAAAGCGTTCTTTGAAGTAAACTATTCTTGTCTTGTTACCATGTTCAAACAATAGAGTAGCTCCACCATTAGTAATCCCGTGATTCATTCTGACCAGAAAAGGTTAATGCCCACCTGGGGGGGAGGGGGGTACTCTAAAAAATTTCGAATAGTTGAGACAAGCGAAAACCAATATCATATTAAAGACCCAAACATGGAAAATGAGGCCCAGTTCAAGGGAAAAACAAAACCTAAGAATTGAAGGAAACATAAAAAAACTTCCTTGAATCGCGCTCCTAATCAGCTCTAGGGTAAAGTCCAGTTTTAACAGATCTATGATTTGTTTCTCGTGTGTTGGGCATTAACGCACATGAATTTTACCTGATAGAATAACATTACCATATTTAAGGATGGAGATCCTCATCCTATCGGGCGGGAGTACCCCCAGGGGTAAACGCTCAAAACGTTGTTTTGTTTTGTTTTCTGACCACCTTCCCCTCTCCTAAGACAACATTAAGACTACCTTCTCACTCAGGGCAAAATGTGACTTAGGGGAGGGATAGGTGGGCAGTTTCCCGGAAACCTTAACTGATCGTACCAGGGCAAGCTTGGCTTTATTAACTCAGCGTTGAATACAAATTGTTGTGTATTTACCGATCTTTGTTTTCCGAATACATGAATAGCATCTAAACAGTCTGGCTGTATAAACCGCGTTTGGAAAAATACGAATATCCGGTTGCATTGATATCTACATTCAGTTAGTGCACCTCTGTATTATAGGTAACATGTACAAATTCTCACATCAAGTTGTTTACCATCTTATCATTTTTACTGAAGATGATGGTTTTTAGACGTGTGATGAGGTAGAGGATTTTCCTTCTGCCTTAAGAGACCACACAATCTATGAAAAAGAACATACACGCCCAGAACGATATTCATTAGAAAATGAAAGTGCAGCACAGAATACTAATGACGTCAGTGTGACTAATTTGCCATGTTTGTCTGAGATCTGCCATTTTTGTTATTTTCACGACAAAAGTCAGACAAACTTGACATTTTAATAACAAAAAGACAAACAAAATTAAGGAATTTGTTTGTCTGAGTTTGAGTTCTATAAATAGTGCCTGTGCGCAGACCTATTGCGAATGGAGAGAAGATATTTTTTAAACAAAAGGCAAAAAAGAGGCCAGCAAATTTTTATTGATACGGCTGATAAAGTAATGATACCTGTTGCCTTTTGTTTCTGAGCCACTGAAGAAGATCTCCGTTTGGAACATATTCCATGATTAACATGATGGGATGTGATTGGATCCAGTAGCCGAGCATGCTCACAATATTACGGTGTGTTCCGACTTCCTTCATCAACTCAATTTCCCGAACTAACTGCTGTTTGTCCTCCTCCGTGGCATTTTCTAAAAAACAAAAGACATTTTAAAAAAATCCAGGTAACCGTGACCTACGTATATGCTACAAGATATCAGTTAGTATTAAACAACTAAAACCAGATGTAAAGAAAAAAGGAACTAATTAAAATGAAAGTATATTTAACCTATGAAAATAAAACACAGTCAATAGCTCAGGTCCTAATTTCTGCTTGAGAAAAAAATCTGTTTGTTAAAAAATTGGTTCCCTAAGTTAAGTGACGTAGATAAAACAGTTTCAAAGATAAACCGTTAGTTCTCTTCATCTAGCGATCACCAAGCACGACGTGTAACATGATGTAATACTGGAAGATCTTTTAGTCCGGAAACTTATCTCTTTAATTCTAGACGTCACGTTTTGTGTTCTTTAATTGCTTCCCTATTCTCGACCCACGGGTACTTTATCTCCAGTAATATGACTTTCCTTGAGTGTACATTTGTAATCCTAACGCGTCTATCCAATTGGCTCACTTTCATTGACTCTGAATAGACAAGGACATCCCAGTATGCTTTCGTAGTTGAGTTGCACCGAGGGTTTTCAGCTCACCGTCGTCGTCATCAAATAAATGTTTTAAACTTAAACGACTAGAAAGCAGTATCTCGTAACACTGACAAAAAAGAAAAATTGTTAAACACAACTACAAAATAAAAATAACGCTTAGAGGTTTTTAAAGCTTTAAGATTACTCTTAGAGGAACGAATATCCAAACTCTATTTTATACTGTATGTGCTCTGTAGAATCATTCCAAAGTTTATTGGCTCAAAACGAAAAAGCATGATCGTCCGCTAAAAGTTTTAGCCTCGATCTGGGTGTCACTAATTAACAAGTTCATGGTTGATGATCGTGAACTCCTAACAGACATGTTAGGAGTTTGAAACAAATGATGATTATAGCTCAGACATAAATAATTTAAAATCCGCTACTCATGCTCCAAGGGAAGCCAATGTAGTTCTCTAAGTAAAGCTGTAGTAATGTGGTCATATTTACAACCACATACGATCAGATAAAGTTCTCAAGTGACTGAAACATGTGAATAACATATTTCGAAAAATCACTTAAGAGAACGACCGATCTACACGTTACGAAGGCATGCACTGACATCTTGAATTGGTTTAAAGAGATAATATGTTGTCATGTCACACCTCTGAGAAGTGATCATGCAGCCTGCTCTGTTTTGCATTTTTTATATCTGCGTGGTTTTGTTAAAAGGTGCCCGCTCCGTTTTCGCTTGAACACGGGCATCGATTTATTAGCGCTATATACTTTTTAGTGCATTGTGACACAATCTCGAACCTGTCTAAGACCACTTGTAACACGACTAACCTTGGAGCACACCTTATCAATGTTCTGATCTCACTGAAGGTTTTTATGTCTACATTAATTCATTCATTGCAAAACGTGTGGTAAATTTCAAACATTCAGGGAGGTTATTGATATAAGTAGAAAACATAAGGATCTAAAATGGGCCCCTGAGGTACGTCACACTGTTACCGACTGGGGCATTGAGATGCTGTTTTCTACGATATAATGTTTGCTATCTATTGGATTAAATAATTCAAACCCGCTGTTACAAGAGAGGCTCCCTTGCCTGTTATTAATAAGAATCACTCCCTTGAATATCGTTTGCTGAAAGAGTAAGTCATCTTTTTGCCACATTCTGAATTCACGCACCTGGTAGAACTTTTGTAGCAACAATACGTCCCTCATGCGAATCCAAAGCGTGATCCTTGGGTTTGGAGGATGTTTTCTTTTCAGGTAACCCCCTCATTACGCTCCTATAAACTCTTCCAAAAGCGCCTCGTCCCAGTTCCTCCATGATAGTAACCCGTTCGTGTGGGACTTCCAGCAACATAAACTCAGCAATGTCAGACTCACTGGACCTAAAGAAAATAGTGCAAATTAAATGATAATAAAATTCGGCGTCATTAATCATGGGCTTGTGGTAATGCTAAAATCAGAGATGGCTTCCTAGTTCATACAAGGTGATAAAAGTTACATCGCCTTGGTGTGTAAGGAAGGTCACTCATCAGCGCGAATTGACAGAGTGAGACGGACACTTCAAGACAGACAGTTACACAGGAAAAATATCGTCTATTTCCGCATGCATATCATTATCATAATACATCTTAATCATTCCTATAGAAATATGAAATACCGTTCATTCCTCTTTGCTCTCTTACGGTACACAATTATCCCCACCACCAAAGCAGAAAGAGCCACGGAAACTCCCAACACTATCCAGAGTATGGGAACACCTGTGAGAGAGCAAAATTGTAAGAGCCTCTCTGGTCACTGAGGGATACAAAGAATCATCAATGTAAAGAACTGTTGATGTAAAAACATGGTGGGAATAAGTTTCCTAGTAAACTTATAAACGGACTAAGTTTCCTAGGAACTACTTCTCGTTTACGACTCGTTACATTTTACAGGCCTCCATATTCTGCTAAACATCCTGTGACCACATCCACATTTTTCAGTGAGCCCTTTACTGATTTTACCTCGAGTCTCTGGTCATGTCAAGAGAGCCCTTGATAATTTTGGGCGATTTTAACATCCGTATGGTCGACCTACCGGTCGGATATAATGGAGTCGATGGGTCTCACGCGGCATGTTAGTCTACTACGCATGAACTTGGTCATACACTTGACTTGATTATCACTCCTACATCTGATAACATTCATTGCTGTGAGTTATTCTCCGACCATTTTCTAGTCTTCTGTCAAATAAGATCTGATAGACCTCAAGCTAATGTCACGCATGTGCAGTTCAGGAAAATGAAATCAATTAACCCCATCCAATTTTCTGAGGCCATTCCTTCTTCTCAGCTTAATCATGATCCACCTAACGCCTTAGACTCTCTAGACAGCTGTTATAATGAGTCGTTACGATCTCAACTGGATATGTATGCACCTGTCTTAACTCGTGACATTAATGTCAGGCCTCTTGCTGCGTGGTTCAATGAAGATATTAGGAATGCCAGACGCTTGAGACGAAATGCTGAAAAGACGTGGAGAGCTACAAGACAACCTGTTGATATTGTCGCTTTTAAGAAGGAAAGAAATCGTGTGGTGAATTTGGTGAATGAGGCACGCCGTGTTTACTATAATCAGTTTATCGAAGATAACAGCACAGATCAGAGGAGGCTTTTCGCGGCAAGTAAGAGTTTATTGAATATGAAGAAAGATCGATCTCTTCCACACATTCTTTTTCACTTCTTGCAAACAATATGGGTCAGTTTTTTTATTGCCAGGATTACCAGTATCAGGTCAAAGCTGAACGGCATTCTTGCTGTCAACGCCCGAGCCCAACCTGGAATCTGAATCTGGTGATATTGTATTTTCCCACTTCCAGTGCCAAGCCTGACTGAGATAGTTCGTCATATGATTACACCTGGAAAGAACAAATCTTGCATCTTCATGTTAAGACTCACTCCTTCCCGCCATCACTAATATGGTCAACCTCTCCTTGCAGACTGGACATTTTGATGAAACCTGGAACCCATCATTAAAAAAGCCCGGCCTCGATCTACTGTTCAAGAGTTTCCGTCTAATAAGCAACTTGCAGTTTGTGTCTAAATTGACAGAGCGTGTGTTGGCCTCTCAGATCTCAGATCCTCGTTGCAGACTGGGTATTTTGCTGAAACCTGGAAAACTGCTGTGGTATACCCATCATTAAAAAAGCCCTGCCTCGATCTACTGTTCAAGAATTTTCGTCTAATAAACAACTTGCAGTTTGTGACATGATTACAAATAATCTATTCCCTCAATTGCAATCTGCTTATCGCTCCCATCACAGTCCGGAGACTGCATTGTTCAAGGTAACGAATGATCTACTAATGAATGTGGACAAGGACAATATATCTCTCTTACTACTGCTGGATTTAAGTGCCGCCTTCGACACCGTTGAGCATGGGATTTTACTACAATCGCTTCAAATGATACTAGGTGTCTGTGGTACTGCTCTTTCCTGGTTCAAATCGTACTTGGAAGGGAGATCTTAAAGAATCTGCATAAAGGAGACGCTCTCGCAGCCGTTTGACTTAAAATGGGGTGTCCCTCAAGGTTCTTGTGTCCGACCGCTTTTGTTTACTATTTATACACAAGATTTGTTCTCTAAATGGTAGTGCTCGCTTAATTTACTGGGCCCGAAAGTCGTGCCCTATCACGCCTCTGCTTCGCGAGCTACATTGGTTACCTGTTTGCTACTGTTTTGAATACAAAATATTACCGTGACCGGCAAAATTTTTGCATGGCAAAGGCGTGGCTTCATGGATGCGTGGTTACTCAGCTGGAAAAAGAGAGGAAAATAGGTAACTAATAGCATTTACTAGTAAGTTCTAGTAACTACCAGTAACTACTAGTAACTACAAGTAAATTCTAGTAACTACCTTTAACTACTAATAACTACCAGTAACTACTAGTAACTACGTACAACTAACTACCAGTAACTACTAGCAACTACCTTTAACTACTCGTAACTACCAGTAACTACTAGTAACTGCAAGTAACTACTAGTAACTACTAGCAACTACCAATAACTACTAGCAACTACCAGTAACTACAAGTAACTACTACTAATATAACTACTAGCAACTACCAGTAACTATTAGTAACTATTAATAACTACTAGTAACTACAGGTAACTACTACTGACTATCAGTGAGAAGACACAATACTACATATTACACAGAGTGTATATTACTGGTGCAGTTGTGGCTTAATTTCCACCATGAAGTATATACCAAAACAGGAACCAGCGAACGTGGATTTACGAGTCATGTTATTACTCACTTTGCTTGGAAATATTACAGCTCGACAGTTCCGTGTGAACAGCGCAAAAATGTAGAACGGTTCCGGTTGAAAATTCGACCGGTACCGTGTTAACGTAACCTTTTTGACGTAACCTTTTTGACCTCTTTCACTGAAAGTGGTTTGGAAATAAGAAAATGTTAAATACTGTAGAACAATTTTGATATGTTCAAATTCATACTTGAGGCACAACAATGAATAATACATTTATTTTATTTTATTCCCCCAAAGTTTGACTTTTGATATATTGAAACTGGTCTCTTTTTGCCAGCTTCACCGTCAATTTGCCAAATGTAGAAATGCAGGCCAATTAAGATGGCCATGAACATACAGCGTCGTGACAGGCTATTTATTACAGAAGAACAGTCCCTTAATGTTTGAACGTTACAGAATGATAAACTTCCAATAAGCGGAGGCTATAATCTGTACATTTTTATTGTTGTTGAACATCAAAGGGCTTTGTTGCGGTAAATTTCCGTCTTGATCTGTTTTGCTGCCCACTTTGCTTATTAGGGAGCTGAAAGGGGGTGTCTACTTTCCTAGAGGTCTACCCCTAGCAGAAAGGGTCCACAAGTTTGGCGGAATGCGGGATTTGGCTGTTTTTGGTGGTGATACTCGAGATGCGAGCTAAAAAAGGAGCTGGAAGCGGGAATTTTGATAATGAGAGGGAGCGGGGTTTCCTATTTTCATTGGGTTGGGATGCGGGAATCGTAAGGGAAAAGTAGCGGGATACGGGAATTAAATTTTGTTGTGACCACATTTTGACTTCTTTGTGTACACCGCCCATGTACTAGGAACTACTAGTCGCCAAGGAAATTAAGCCTGTCAGTTTTATCCATTATCACCTTTGAGTGTTTTCGTCTTGTTTCGTTACTTGGTAACTGACGGTGTGCGCGAACGGTCAATGGAAAGGTCTCGAGTGAGGCCAAAAAACGAATTAGACTAGGGAGAGACGCCAAAAATACGCGGTTAATTTTACACAGTCTTCGCCTGTACTTCGCACCTTTTAAAACCGATTGTGAGCAAAAAGGACTGGTTTGCAAACTATTGCAGGTCACACGCACCTATTTTTGAGCGGATTTAAGAATGGAAGAAAGTACAGAGATTTTAAACACGAATGAGTACAAGTAGCAATATATAAAAAAGAGGAAGAAATCGAGGACCAAGGGCAAGAAGGGTGGAAAAGTAAGCTTTCTGCATGGGGTTGTCTAGGTTTGGGTTTCCACAAAAGCGAACATTCTATCAATTTGTCCAACCAGTGTGTCCATACACACTTTCCATGAGCCGTTGTCAGCGAAGACAACTGGGTTCATCAACTAATGCAACCTAGCAGTAAATCAATCAAAACATCCATCAATCCAACTCAACTGGATGTTTCCAAATGGCCACAACTCAGATCGAAGTAAGCCTTCTTTTTTGTTCTGAAGTGCTCCCCCAAAATAACAATAAGCAAAACAGAAAATGAAGTTACAGTCGTTAATGGTTTAGCCTTGGACCAGGCTCCGCCTTGGGGAAAAAGGGAGAAAAGAATTGATCCCGTTTTTTGCCTTTTTTCACCACTACGGAGCCTGATCCCAGGCTATTAATGGTTATGTCAAGAGCCTTTAAGGCTCTTGATTTAAAAACATCAAAACTGCCTATTGCAAGAAAGCAAGTCTTAAACATTGTATAACGTTTTAATATTTCAATAATGAAAGCAGGAAACTCGTAAAGAAATTAGGGCGGGATCTAGTCTGCTACACAGCAGTTTTTAGTGTCGTCACACAACGCTCCTCCCCACAAACTTTGTGCCTGTGTAGCAGACTAGGCGGGATCGGGATTCGGACGTAAAAACAGGCGGGATAGCGGAATTAAGAGGAAAAAACTAGCGGGAAGGCGGGATTTCAGAACCCGGCTATTGTGGACCCAAAGCAGAGGTTGAACTGGATATGGTTAGGTGCCAATACCAAAACCTATCAGCTATTATTACACATACATAAGGTAATGTCGCACCTGTAGAGCGGGTTTTAAATTTCCAAGAAACTGACCAGTCGCTTTGAACTTTTCCAAACCAGGAAGACACGCCAATTTCATACTCTTTGTCGCATTCTAGAGACAAAAGATGAAAGGTGGTTGAAGGAACCCTATGTTCTGTCCATTCAGCTTCAATGCCTAGTGGCTTTATCTCCCTAAAGCGTACACTGCTCTTTGTTATAGTGCATATTTCTTTTCTACTCCACGTTACATTGACTTTGCAACCATGTATTTTCGACTCTCCCTTGTTTATCACGGGTGTAATTGGTTTGCCTTTAAATAATGAAAACAATACTACGATTAATTATTTATTTCCACGCATAACGTTAATAATTAAGCTTGCATTTTTTAAAAGTTCCGAGCTGCCCTTATATTGTCAAGTAAAGACTGTAAAAGAACAATATACGTATTTTAACATTCAACAGACCTCTATTGAGGATTTGAGACTGCAGTCGAAGAATACGACTTACCCTTTAATGGATACTACTCTCACCTTTAACTAAGTCACCAATCTGCTTCGTAGATAAAGCTATTCCAGTCACATAAAGATCCATGACTGCTCCAACAAACACCCCATTTGCCATTGGCATCTGGACTAAACCTGGATCATTCCCTATGATGTACTTTGGCTGATAAAGGCCTAACGATGAGAAGAAATGCTCATTCCATTGGTCTATCAGTGGCTCCTCCGTACCATCAACGAACACCTTGATCTTATGCAGCTGACAAGTTACTGCTACGTGATTCCAGTAACTGATTTGTAAGTGGAAAGTGTTGTCTATCGATAAACGAAGACGGGATTTCTTGACTGTAACGTAAAATAGTTTTCCACCCTGTGTCCAAAGTGCCAGTATAGGCCCGTCAACACCAATGTACTTTACCCAAAATGCAATTGTAAAGTCACAGGTTCTTATGTTAATGTTGGGCACAGTAGCATAGGAACCATTCTGACTGAAACTCGCTGCTTTGCTTCCAGGACACCAGCCTTCAATATGGTTAACAGTACCAAAATACCTGTAAGATCACAAAAACCAATGAATAGAATCTAGCTGTGAATAAAAAAGAATTACCTATTATAGTAACATGCAAGCCACTATTTTATCCTCCCATATAATCCTACGTTATGAGACAAAAATTTAACCGGTCAACGCAGAGTATAATGCCCCCTGCAGCAGTCAGAAATGCAAATGCATAAGTTTGAAGCAGTGCTGAAACCTGGATGTCATATGAAATGATCGATCTGAAATTTTATTTAAGAGTTAGAAAAAAGTAAGAATCAAAGAAGAGGTTTTCGCGCAAAATCGGTTGCAAAAAAACCCGACATCCCAAAATAGGGGTAAGGTATAAGAATCCAACGCCACTTCCTCTCCCGCCCACTCCCGCCCCCAACATTAATTGAACAAACTAGATATGTATAACCGCTACTAACCTTACATCTGAATCACTACCGTCTAGAAACCAGCGGCCGTATACGAGGTTTCCTAACAAAACAAACACGGGAGCCTGCTTAGGATTCGTTCCATTAAACTCATTTTGGGATACGAATACGTGATATCGTGTGTAATCTTTATCTTTTTCTTATTGTTTTCACTGTTACTTTGAATGCTTCTGGGAGCATAAAACGGAATAATTCCAACGACAACAAGAATAATGGCAGACGTTGTGGGTTATCAACAAGCAAAAAGGCAAAGAGAGGGACAAAAAAGCAAAAGGTTGGTATCGGCAGAATAACAACTTTGCACGTGCTGCACCCGGGGGGGGGGTCTCCGAATTTCAAGTGACAGGAATGATGGAAGGATTTTTTGGGGTTTGAAATTTTCGAATTCGGGATTTTATTGGGGTAGGAGAATTTTGGTAAGAATTGTTTTGGGTAGCTTAATTTAAGAACGGATTTTTTGGGGCGTTCAGTATTAATTATTGCTTTCTGCAATTTTTTTTTGTGGGGGGGCGGGGGGGGGGGGGGTTAAATGTTATGGGAACAAAACCTAACTTCAACCCTTCAAAATCTCTGTTTTGTTCGCACTTTTCATTTTCCCATCTCCCTTTTCTCGTTCCCTGCTCTCCGTTTCCCTTTTTAGTAACATCCCAGTGCTTTACCGTCACAGTGCGTCCAAGGCGTAAAACTGCCAAATTTTACGTTTTATGGAGGACTTGAACACATAACAACGATTTTTTTTTTTAATTTCGAAACTCATATACAATTCGTTAGAATTTAAACCGCATGAATATTGGCCAACATTGCTGTTTATGAAGGAAAAAGGAAAATGATAATGACAATTTTCGTCCTTTACATATTGCTTTAGAATGTCTTCTACAAAAGAAAAA